GCAGCAGAATAAGCTAAAAAGTGTGCGCTTGTGCTACTGCGCATTAGTGCAGCCTAATGTGCATTTATTTAGTACTTCATATAGGATGTACTAAATTTAATGTGCATTAAGAACAGTGCATTAATGCACATGTAGATGTGACCAATCACACCAATATAGATATGCCCTTTCAGTCTGTAATACAGCAAAATTCACCTGCCTGCCAAGAGCGGAGTGCAGTGCAATGTGAACTGAATAAAGCATCTAAACAAGTTTCATTAAAATACTTATAAATGGAACACCCTACTTACGCCTTCTATTGTAATGTGTTATGTTGTTGTTGCCTTTTTGTTTAAAATATAGATGCCATGGTGCTGATTGATTTCTTGAACTGCTGCTTCCACAAGTTACATACAAGATGACATATGTCCCTTTTCTTGATCATATAACTTAAACTGTGCATTATAGGTTAAAGAGCCTCTGGATAGCAATAAACTGCAATAGTGCTCTCCACTAGTCAGGTGCAGTATACTGCTAGAAATCTGTTCTGTGTTCACTGTGAACGGCACTGAGGCCACATGAATCATGAGGAGCATCTCATGCAGAAAGCATTTTGGAAGGGGGCCTCTGTCTTGAGAGCTGTTCCAGTCTAGCTCCTCTTGATACTTAGCAGAAATACAGTATGTCAGTGAAGTGCTAGGTAGCCCCACAGAAGCTTAACTAGGATTTTGGATCCTTGGACAGGAGAGGGTGGGGGGTGAATGGCAGAGATTTGGGGAGCGGAGAGAAGGGTCCTGTCTCCCAGCTAGAGTCTCACCTCCCGACACATAGGAGGCTACCACTCTTGTTATTGGAGCCACTGGTGCTGCTGACTTGGTGTGGCCTCCAGCACATAGGCCTTCACAAACAAAGTCTGGTACCAGATGATAAAAACAGTTGACAGCGAAGAAGACAACCTAGAGTAATAGAAGAAGGTTAAGGTTTAATCAGAGAAATGAAATCAGTGGGTTTCAACCTTTTTTAGACCTGAGGCACCTGTCATTAGACTCGTGGCACCCTTTGAAAAATGCAAATTCTTCATTTTCACTCATTTTTTGCTAGAAGAGTTTCTCTTACAAAGAACGCAGAAAGACCACAACAGCTCAGAATGCTTGTGACACCATGGATTCCTAGTTGAAATCTCTGGGCGTGTCCAGATAAGCTCGTATGTGCATTTCCCAGGGGACAAATAGCAGCTGTGCATAGTTGTGCCCCTGCTACTTGTCCATGGGGAATGCCCCTGCATGCGCACTCTGGTGCACAGCAAATTGCCCTGGGTGGGTAAGGGAGGCTGGGACCAGCATTTGGGATGGCCCCAGCAGCTTTACCTGAGGTCCTGGGAGCCTCCCAGGCCTGCAGTGCGGCAATCCGAGCATGTGGAACCTGGCTGGCCAGACTCTAGTTTCAGGCAATCAAAAGCACCTCAAAAGCCTTTGAGGTGCTGCAAAGCACACGTGCACTCTTGTCTGGATGCACCCTCTGGGTTTATCCTGTCAGTCATGTTTGCACTGACATACCAGGCTGTAGCATCCTAGTTGCAAATAATTGAGCTAGATGCCATCAAGTCAGCACAGCTGGACAGAATACACACTAAGGTACTGAAGGAATTGGCTGTGGTAATGGGATGGTTACAGCCTGTGGTTGTAACATAACTTCACCTGTCTTTTTAGATATTCCTGAGAGTCAGTCTGGAAACTCTGGGATATGGAAACACAGCTGACAGCACCGAGGCTTCCTGTGCAATGGTAGGACAAGGGGGTTTAAGTTGCTGTGATGACCACTATTCTGTTCTTCAGATCTGCCATTCAACAGGTGGTAATTATCACAATACATAGCACAATACATCCAGTCCAGGAGGAACCCTGGTGATGTAGATATGGCTTGGGGCCCAGGGTGAGTTTGACACCCCTATGTTACATCCATCCAGCTTGACATGTCCCCTTAAAACTCCTTGGTTTCAAGGAAAGAGTTTTGGGTTGATCGTATCCCTGAGGGAAGTCATAGGAACATTTTGAATTGGCCAGTTTGAGAAGGTACATGTGGACAGCTTGGACCACCCCTAGGTGCATTCCACCTCAGTTTCTATAGCAAGTATATTGTGGGTTTTTCCAGTCTATAAGTGGCTTGTGTTACTTATAATGCAAGTTTTGTACAAAATGATTAAGCATCTCCCTCTCTGTAGGAAAGTTGTGAAACCACAGTTGAAACTCATAAAGAGATAATAGTAATAGTGTGTGTGTTTGTGTGCGTGCATTAATCATTCCTTCTAATACTGGAGAGCATTTCCACCACCCAGGGAAATTTTGTGGCATGGAAAAATAATAATAAAATAGGAGCACCTTTTCTTCTGAGTGCACAATGCATACTCAAAGTTGTATGTGAGTTAATGTTCAAATACAGGCTGCTTACAGACATGAAAATAAGAACGGCACTTTCGTTTAAGCTTGGCTCACTCCCACACCAAGCACGGTGAATCCCAGAAGAGGCATCACATTAGTTGGACCTCTCAAAACTGACACACATACAAATTATATAGGATTATTATTGTTTACCTTTCAAATTCATATAACCAACTTGCAAATGTGTTTTTATTTTGAATATACATTTGCCAACTTGAAAATAATGAGACATACAAAACTAAAGTTTAGCTTCTGGGAAGACACCTGGTCTTGATTTAAAGACCTGAACAGTGACTCCACCATGGCTCATGTGCCATGAGGTCTAGAGACGCAGAGAAGACTGTTAAATAGGACAGAAATTCTCTTCTGACCCTGTTGTTAGCTCACTGAAATACCTGTACAAGTCACTTGTTTTGCATCGGCTTATTTACATGTAAATGTGCTACAAGAAAATGATGTTTGTGCAGATGCCTAGATGAAAGGCATTGTATGAGTTTAAAGTATGACTAGTATTAAACTTTGCAAGTCATTAATCTGGGTGGAGATCAACATTCCTAAAAGCAAAGGACAGGTATCCCTTAGGATATATAAAGCTCTTGAATTGATGCATCTGATAAACACAGGCAGATTGAAGACAGGTGAGTCTGAATTCATTCATAGCATGCTCAGTTGAGGAAGGAAAAATACTTGTTTTTGTTTAATAGTAAACATCCTATTTGTAGTAATGTGACAGTCTACTTGTGACTAGTGATATTTTTGCTGAATGTTTTTTAATTATTTACAGAAAAGAAATATCTCTGAGGGAAAAAAAGGAGAAAAGCTAAAATCTGATCATACAGCAGTTTCCTGCAGATGGAAATGGCAATAAAAACGAGTAAAACTCTGCTCCATGGGGCTAATCTATGTGTGTTTATGATTAGTTTAATGACTACAAGGTCAGGCTATGATAGTCTAATTCTTCAAATTTTCTTTACCAATATATGGCTTATATATGGCTTACAGGAGAGCTAGCTCCATCCTAAATAGTAAATGTTTTGTGGGTGGACAATAAGGTCCTTCTCCAAAAAATGGGTCTTTCAATTGATTTCAGTGGGCCCTAAGGTTCTGTATGTAGCTAGGTGGAAATGAATAGTGGGTTGCAAAGGGTAACATATTATTAAAATTAATAAAAAATCCTTTTTCCGTGTATAAAAAACAATTCATGATTACTGGTTGTGATCTTAATGATGTAATTTCCATTTGAAAACCTACTAGAAAAAACATTGAAACAGTTTATATAGTTTTTCAAATTGTTAACTCAGGGTTCAGCACCATATATAGCACACTAGAATTTAAACCACTATATACTTAGAAGTGTGTGCAGGAGAGCTGTGCTGATTGGGCATGTCTACACATGCAATTAATGCACAGCAAAAAACTCTGGTGCATATTGCACTGTGTTTACAGGTGAGTCAGGACTGCAGCACATTGAGCTGGGTCAGAGCAGCCCTGGCTAGCAGAGGGCCTGGGGGGTCAGCCTGTCAGCCCAGGACTGCTCCAACCCGGCTTAACGTGCTGCGGTGGGGCTGGCTGGGATATGAGAGGCTAGATGGCTCCAGTGAGAGGCTAGATGGCAGGCAGCCCTCACACTGAAGCACCCTCGTGCTCCAGCCAGGCCTGTCAGCGTCAATATGTGCATTGCTGTGCACTAAATAATGCCGCTGCAGGATAGCACTTGTATTTAAAGAGTTATTTGGTTTACTGTGGAGTTAGTTAGCTTACTGCACCCTAATAGGGCCACATGTGCAGATGCAGAGACTTTACTGTGGAGCTAATTAGGCAGCTCCACAGTAAATGTCTCATGTAGGTGCACCCACTGTTACCAATAGAAAACCAAATCTGATTGTTTTCTGGCAAAGCTACTTGGTCAAGACTAAGGGAACTGTGTGAGGAGACAAGAGGTCCAAGCAGAGAATCCCTCAGCCAGTGCTGTAGCAAGGGAGGGATGGGGGTGTGGGGGTAAGGCGAGCAGGGTGACCATCCCAAAGCAAAGGGGCACCAAACAGGTGCTGCCCAGCTGGGGTGGGGTGCAGGACAGAGCCATGAGTGGCTCATTTGGTGGGGCATGGGGATGGGGGAAGGGCAGCTTCTGCCACTGTGTGCGCTTCCTGGCAAGCATGAGGGGGCATGTGTCCCCCGGATCTGTGCATGGGGCTAGGGTGAGCTGCCGCTGCAGGCTTTGTGCTGGGTGCCAAACTTCATTGCTACGGCACTGCTGTCTGTTTTTGCTGTACTAGTCCAAAAGATTGTTTTGTATTTGAATCTGACCTGTGCCAACTATCCAATAAATTGTTTGCACAATGTATCCCTGTTTTGTGAATGAGAATGTGTAGTATATCCTGAATATAGTGTTGCCCCAGTTTTAATTTTCTTAATAGGATTAAAATAATTCTCCCCAGCCTGTTCCTCTGGGAAGGTTTCAATACAATTTGCTAGTTTTGTGTAAGAACACTTTTGTAGGGTCATTGAAAACTTTCTTCACTTCTTCATGTTCATAAAGTCTGATTAATTTTCAGATTGCTTTGATGGGCCTGAGAAGAACTACCACCATGTTTCTTGCACTGTTGATTCTGGGCCTTTCTGCCCTTATTGGTAAGCCTGGGGTTTATTTCCATTTAATTAACCTTACTGTCAAGACAACAATATGAAAAGATTTTTGAAGAGCTGCAGGATGCGTCAGATCTGAGTCTACCTAGTACAAAGAGCCATAATGTCTTTCATGTGGGCTTTTGTGTGAAGTTTCTTACACTCTATCCATACTCATTAAACAATGAATGTTGAAGGATATGTCAGACACCAGAACAGAATCATAAATTTAAAAAATCACCTTGTATTATTTTTTCATCTGATCTCATGAATGCTCTAACTTGAATGCAAGGTTCCATGAACTTCCAACCATCTAGGAAGTAGAATAATTTGCCCAGCCAGCGATTCCTAATGTTCATGAAAGGCTATTGTGTCATCGATGGGCACAGGAACCATTCCTAATGGGAGACAGTCGTTTTTCCATTCTTAGTGGAGAGACATTTTATGTTCTGTCTGTAGGAGCTGGATGGAAGGGGCTCTGTAAAATAAGTTCAGGAGCTGGTACTTTTTTTCCCATTAGGTGGATATAAAAAGGCAGATCCTCAGCCAATGTAAATGATCATGAATTCATTGACTTTGATATATAATATTAGAAAAAAGCAATCCTCTAATGCTGGTTTTTGTTGAGAGCCTGTCAAGGATAATTATAGTGGCAATAATATAAAGGAGGGGGATACAAAATAACTATTAAGGTTGACATGTCCTTTGTGCTCAAGGTTTATTAATGCTTTCAACACTCTAAGTAAGCATCCTTTTTAAATATAATATCTCTATTTAACTTTTTAGCTCCTTCTGCCAGTCAAAGTTGCTATGGTGATATAACTAGCCTTCAAACTCCGGTAATATCCTGTGGACCGGTAAAAACTATAGGCTGTGGTAAGTATAACTCAATGCGTGACTTGCTATACCTCAGTGCACAATGCTCTTTACACATGAGAAAACAATATTTTATTTCCCATTGTTGGTAAATTAAATTTCCAAGAGCAAGCCATCCAATTTTGTCAGGGACACTGTCCTAACTGAGCATGGCCATGACACAACAAGCTGAAGGGGAGGGCCGAGCATTAATGCAATTGTTTTCAAACAGCAGCATTTCTTAACTCCTTATTCTATCCATTTCTGAGGAGCCCACCTTTCAAGGTCTCACAGCTAGGGGCCTTCTCCTTTGAACAAAGAGGAAAAGACAAGATTTCTTTCTAGTCAAAACAGATTTTTTTTAAGTGTTTAGTATTTTTATCTCCACATATGCTGTCCTCAGCAATCCCAGACTCTCCTGGTCTGACGAAGAAGACAAACTTGACTTGAATCAACACTTGACATCTACTGGAATATGTAAAAAACATGCTCTATATAGCATGGGTTCACAACATATGACCCACAGGTTGGATCAAGCCAAAGGAGCCACTGGATACGGCCTCTGGAGTCAGAGGGTTTATAAGGCCAGGCAGCAAAGAACTATGCTAAGGTCAGGCAGCAGGAAGCTGACCCTGTGCCACCACCATGTCTCTCAGCCCCTTGCTCTCTGCCTGTGGTGCAATCACAGCCTCTAGTCAGTGGGAAGCTGCTGGGAGGTGACTGGGGGCGGGATAGGAGAGGTATGGGGAGAAGAGGCAGCAGTGCGGACACAGCTTCCAGCTCCCCAGTCCCAGCACAGATCCTTGCTGCCTGACCTCAGTGCAACTACAGGCAAAACCACAAGCAAAGCTGCCTGCCTCCCACCTGCAGTGCAGCTCCCCACTGACTAGAGTCTGAGCCTGTGCCACAGCCAAGCAGTGAGGGGCTGGGGGAAGCAGTGGCAGTGAGGGCACAGCTCCCAGCTGCCTGGCCTCAATACGGGTGCAAGCAAAGCCACTCACCTCTGACACACCGTCAAAGCCACCTGGCCCACATTGAACAGGAGCTGGGTTGTTCCACCTTGTGGCTTGTTAGGCTAGGGACACACATTACACATAAACTGGTTTAAGTGATCAGAAACGGATTTAAACCTGTAACAGAACAGATGTTCAGTGTACATAAACTAGTTTGAAAATGACTGAAACCAGTTTGAGATAAACCTGGTTGAATGTAGTATCAGACTTAACTGATTTGGGTCAAACCGGTTTATGCAATGTCTGTCCCAGACCCTTTGCTGGCTTAAGTTAAACCAGACTCCCCCAGCATCCCAGCATGCTCTCTGGGCTGGGTGGGGCTCTCTGCTCCACAGCAGAGCTGGCTCCTCCCCTCTGCTCCCTGGCTCCAGCTCTGGCACAGACTGCAGGCACCTGCCTGCTCCCCTCCTCCCCTCCCTGTCCTCTCTGCCCTACAGACACTTCAGCATTAGCTAGCAGACCACATTCTGGCTACAGTCCGTGTTGTGGCAGGACAAAAGGAGAATCAACAGGTAGCTGGTAATGTCCCTTTGTTTTCTTAATGGGATGATAAACATTGAGTTAGGGGTGATAAACACTGTTATCAATTCCTGTTGGGCTGCTGGGTGTGGGCAGGGGGGCACAACCCCTCCCCAATCAAAGCATCCTGCTGGGGCCTGGCTTTCCCCCCTTCAGCTCAGCACTATGGAAGGAAGGGAGGGCTGCTCTGGTGCTCCCCAGCTTCCAGCCTGAGCCACTGCAGGCATGTGCCTGCATTTCCTCAGTCCAGAGGGAATGACTGTTCAGTTGGAAACTGGTTCAACCTAGGCAGGTTAGACTAACCTGCAAAGATTGAATGAATTCAGGCTCAGGCTTTTTGAATGTCTGTCCCTAGCCCTTAGGGTTGCCAGCCACTGGTCTGTAGGCCCAAATCAGTCAGGCCCCAAATCTGTAGTGATGCTACTATGGAGTGCCCCATTTTGAGACTTCTTTCTCATTCTCCTGTAGTTTTATCAGAAGGTTCTAAAGAAGCCTTTTTACTTTCACTCCTATTGGGGAAGAAGAACTATGTTACAGAAGCCAAAGAAAAGGTCTGCACTTCATTGTGACAACCAGTGACTCATAGGTGAATTCCCAGCCAGGTAGAAGGAAATGGCAAAAGGCTTATTGAATTTTATGGGGCTGGGACTTCATCTGTCAAAGGCAAACATAATCTTGAGGTCAGCTAGACAGCAGGTTACAGCTGAGGTTGGATATTGAGTATAGAGCCCTGTTTTAAAGCCAATCAGGTTTCAAGTGTGAGACTTTCATATTGTATTTCATTCTGTATCCCATTCCTGACCCTGCAATACCATCCACCTGGGCAGGTTCTTAGAGAAGGCAAAGCAGGAAAATCAGCCAATAGGTAGCACTCTTCCCTCAGAGTTGTAATGATTTGGAGGAAAGAGATGTCAAGAAGAGTTCCCACCTACCTTGAGTAATTAAAGATCCCAGATAACTCTTTGTAAGAAAGAAAATGTTATCCCCACTTTCCTTCCCAGACTGGATCATTTTATTTTATCTACCTAATTATCCCTCACAGATTTCATTTAATACAACACTGCTTCATTTTGTGTCTTGTATAATTGCCTTATCCTGTTAAATGGATGCAGTTTCACAGCAGAGATGGCTGTTTTTCACCAATGTTTGAAGTGATTCTTATACCTAGTTCAAGTTCATAAAACTTTTTGTGACTGCAAAGAAGCAAATAACTATTTTATTAAATACAAATACTTATCAACCCTTTTTAAACTGTTACAACATTTATAAAAGTTACTTATTTTAAAAATGTTTTAAAACTAGCCATTCATGTAGGTTGATGTATTATTGTATTATTTTAAATATAAGTCATCAGCCATAAATATCACCAAATTTATTAATTTATGGCTAGATTTTCATATGTTCTGTGGTAAATGGGAACTCTGGATGCTTAGCCCCTGTGAAACTTAACTACTAAAATGTTTACCAGGAGGGAAATAGGACAAAAGACAGGAATAGGAAAATGTGAGAGACGAGAGAGATGTCCAAGGCTGCCTAAGAATTGTAAAAAATCCCTGCATCGCTTTGTTACTGATTCAGAAATACATGCAGGATATTGCCATCTGGATTAAAAAAATTAGGAACCATGTTTTGATGTGCTGTGATTGACATTTATTGTCTGCATTTCTCTAGACATAATATGGCTTTCGAATGCCAATTTATCTGGAAAATGAGGGTTTTAAAAATAAAATTTGAATGCAAATAAACCACATATTCATCTTTGTATTTATTACAGGTGTTTCTGCTTCGGAAAAAATTGCTGAAATTGACATAATACATCTAAGGTCATATAGAACCATTATTAGGAGAGTTGCCAAAAGCCTGTGTTTAGAACCATCATTGATTGCTGCAATCATCTCTGTAGGGAGTCGTGTCGGTCATCTACTAGAGAATGGCTGGGACCATCAGAGAGTTAGGTTTGGCTTGATGCAGGTACAGAAGAAAGAAAAGGAAAAATAAAAATCGCAAGTACTGAAGTACAGGCAGTCCTCGGACTTCCAACACAATTGGTTCCTGAAAACTGTGTCTTAGGTCGAAATGTAACTTGGAACCAATTTTCACATAAGAAACAATGTTATAAATGGGGGGTTGGTTTCTGAACTAAGGCCCAATACCCTATTTTCACCAAAAATATTTTGTACTCAGTCAATTATAGATGAGTAATATAGCAACATTAATGTATTTATATTGTAAATAGCAATCATATTGATTTGGAATGACTTCTTTGAGGTGACTTTGCTGGACTTTTTGAAAGGCTTTTGGTTGAACTTATTTCATAGATTTCATAGATTTCATAGACATTGAAAGGTTCTTGGCTGGAGTCTTCTCAGGAGTCTTGGCTGCGGGTTTTTCTGGAATCTTGTCTGCTTTCTTAAAGAAAGTGTCCAAGGAAGTTTGGACTTACCAGGAGGGAAATAGGACAAAAGACAGGAATAGGAAAATGTGAGAGACGAGAGAGATGTCCAAGGCTGCCTAAGAATTGTAAAAAATCCCTGCATCGCTTTGTTACTGATTCAGAAATACATGCAGGATATTGCCATCTGGATTAAAAAAATTAGGAACCATGTTTTGATGTGCTGTGATTGACATTTATTGTCTGCATTTCTCTAGACATAATATGGCTTTCGAATGCCAATTTATCTGGAAAATGAGGGTTTTAAAAATAAAATTTGAATGCAAATAAACCACATATTCATCTTTGTATTTATTACAGGTGTTTCTGCTTCGGAAAAAATTGCTGAAATTGACATAATACATCTAAGGTCATATAGAACCATTATTAGGAGAGTTGCCAAAAGCCTGTGTTTAGAACCATCATTGATTGCTGCAATCATCTCTGTAGGGAGTCGTGTCGGTCATCTACTAGAGAATGGCTGGGACCATCAGAGAGTTAGGTTTGGCTTGATGCAGGTACAGAAGAAAGAAAAGGAAAAATAAAAATCGCAAGTACTGAAGTACAGGCAGTCCTCGGACTTCCAACACAATTGGTTCCTGAAAACTGTGTCTTAGGTCGAAATGTAACTTGGAACCAATTTTCACATAAGAAACAATGTTATAAATGGGGGGTTGGTTTCTGAACTAAGGCCCAATACCCTATTTTCACCAAAAATATTTTGTACTCAGTCAATTATAGATGAGTAATATAGCAACATTAATGTATTTATATTGTAAATAGCAATCATATTGATTTGGAATGACTTCTTTGAGGTGACTTTGCTGGACTTTTTGAAAGGCTTTTGGTTGAACTTATTTCATAGATTTCATAGATTTCATAGACATTGAAAGGTTCTTGGCTGGAGTCTTCTCAGGAGTCTTGGCTGCGGGTTTTTCTGGAATCTTGTCTGCTTTCTTAAAGAAAGTGTCCAAGGAAGTTTGGACAGATGTTCTCCAGGGAGATGAGCAACTCAGCAAACTTGCTAGCTGGTTTGGTGTTGCATTGGATCAAGCATTGTAAAGTCAAAACTGACGTCATAAAGTTGAAACAGGGTGTCAATTTATAAATATTGTAAGTGCAAAACGTTGTAACTTGAAACGTTGTAAGTCGAGGACTGCCTGTAGAATTATTCTTTATGTGTGAATAGAAGAAAACAAAATTGGTATCTTTGTTTACAGGCAGACTGATGATGTTCTTGTTTGAAACTTCTAGATTGACAGAAGATACTATCCCATTAGGGGAACATGGAACAGTGAAGAACATATAATTCAAGGATCAACTATTTTAACCATTGCACTTAAAACTGTGCGGAAAACATACCCTAGGTGGACCTGGGCACAACAGCTAAGAGGTATGGTATGTGCTGCACATTGCCCTAGAAATAAAGAAATACCCACAAGATAAAGAAATTTATATACCAGGATTTGAAAAATTGATGTAGCTGTATTGTTAAGATTTAAATAGATGAGGTTTCTAAAGCAGAAAAAAATGTAACAACCTAATTTGGGCTTTCACCATGAATGCTTTTAGCATGACCCTCAAGGCAGCTTCTTTCTGCCTTTATGTGCAGTTTCATTTTCTGGCGTCCATGCATGATGTAACATGGTATTGGGTTTCCAAGGAAAGGTTTATATGGAAAGGAAAATATTTCTTTTATCAGCAGTTAAATCTCACAAGAGCCTTCATATTTTATTAAGTAAAACCCCATTCTTTACAACTTACAAAATTATTACTTCTTTTTTTGTAATGCACAGAGGTCTCCAGCAATATCAGGGACCTTATCAGAGGTATAACTGACAAGGACTACATCTAGAACAGTCCTCCCTCTCCCTGCCCCCTGTACCTTCTGGCTATGGCATTAGGAGTAAGAAAGGAAGTTTGCTGAGGCTGAGGGGAGATGGCACCTAATTTTTTTGCCACAGATGCCCATGATGAGTGGGCAAAAAGCCTCCTTATTTTGGGGGCAAAAAACATGTCGCTATGTCTCCAGCCAGCAGCAATCACCTCCACTACTGCTCTGTATAACTACAATTCCCAGAATGCCCTACAGTTTGCTTATACACACTCAGCATGGTAACTTGCTGCTGGGGCTGGAAGGCACAGGGGGAGTAGGGGGTGGGAGGGCGAGGCACTCCCTAGTCCATTCTGGTGCCCTCTACCCCCTACACACACGTGCCTTAGGCAATGCAGGGCTTACACCCTGCTTGCCCACCGACCTGTCCTTACACTACTGGACCTTTGCTACAGATTGCACAAAACTGAAGAGTTTCTAATCTGAAAAGACAAGTGAGAGGACAGCAGGCAAGTAGCACAGCTACTTCTAAACATAGAACTCCATGGGGAGCGTCTACATGAGATACTAAATGTGCAGTAGACTAATTCTATTATGCATTAGTGCATCACAGCAAAAGCGGCATCATTGCGCTAATGAGGTGTAGAATTAGTCTACTGCACATTAGCATCACTAAAAAGGCATGTGCCGGCCCTACTGTGCAGCAGTGCCAGTTACTGCACATTAAGTTGGTACCTGTTATTACAGGCACTAAACTTAATGCGCAGTAACTATGGTGCATTAATGCACGTGTAGACATGCCCCATACCTCTATCCACTAAACAATAGTGCTACCACCACAATTTAGAACCTACTCCTCACATCCTAAAGTACCCAATGACTTCCCTGTAACACAATATAAATACTAATAATATTTATTTATTATTGATTTCTTATGAATGTTTAAATGTACATTAACTATCTTTGTCCCATTACAGGGGCACTTTGTGCCTATCATTCGAGGGACTGGAAAATCCAGGTCTATGATGGAAGAGACTATTGCAGTGGAGGCAATGATTATGTTAATAATGTTATCATTCGAGCAAAGTATTTCAAGAGAATCGGATTTTAAATTCTAGGTGGCTTAAAGTTCCCTCTTTTCAGACAAACTATAATTCTCATGATTATTATGACAGATGAGGAAAAAATAAATGCTTAATATACTAATTGAATAGTGACTGTAACTTCAAAATTAATTTTGCTGGGGGGTGTCCCAACAGTTGTGAAATTGGAGTCACATGTAAGTTAACTCCTCCTGCAACCTCACCCCATTTAGTACCTCTTCTCAGTTTCTACTTTTCTTACTGCTAGGGTTGCAAAGGTAGCAGGCTGTATTGTGCAGGAGGGAATCTAAGACCTCAATGCCTTTATTTAAAAAAGTACAGCCAGCAAATCTTAATCTGCCAAGTGGCAGAGGAATCCTCATATTCTTCTATGCAGAGGAAAGTTAGGGGCAGTTCATACAGCATCCAGAGAGGAGATGACAGGTGGTCTCCCTATGTATTTGTTATAGTAGCCTTTTCCATTCTCTCCCTAGTCAAAAGGGAAAAAGACCTCTTTGTCTCCATAGGCTTCTTTCCTCTAGCTTATTCCTACTAGAGATAAAAAGCTTCTCTCTGGCTCCTCAGTACCTGTAAGGAACTTTAGTAGGCCATTATTAACTAAAGAGCATCCTGCTAAGACATCAAAGGACACACTAATCCTCAGTTCATGGTATCCTCAACTTTCTTATGAACCACAAACTCCACCCAGTGGCAGATTTAGTCAGTTCCAACAAGTCAAAATGAGCTGCACAGGGTCACATCCAAAAGGGAAACTCTCTGGAGAGCACAAAAGGCACACAGAGTCAGTCCCTCTGGAGTATAAAAAATAAGAAAGCCATTAAGAGCAGAAAAGGGCCCTACTTTTTGATGATCTTCCTATGACTTGCATAATAATGGCACTGCCTACTAATATAACCCTAACATTTTTTCTGCCTTAGCTTTGGTGCAATTAACATGGTGCTTTCCAGATTTTAATCATGAGCAGATTGCCACACCTACCCTCCATAATGTCATTCTTAATAGGAAAGTTAATTAACTAGTGAAAACTTCATTTGAAAATGTATTTTCTTAGTGTGACTGGATGTGGGTATATCAATTTACTAAGAAACTGAATAGAAGGAAATTGTGTATTAAAATGTTTCAGCATATAAAAATGGACTAAAAAAGGTCTGTGTTTGTATGCAAGAAAATACAGTGTTAACCAATCCCCAAAAGCTTTGGCCTTATTGACATTTTAAAAATTATTGAAAAGTACACTTTTTTCAAAGTCTTGTAATAAAATGTTAATGCTGAGCCTAAGTTATTTGACCATGGGTGAATTTCTAGTCTCACTGAAGTCAATGGGGTTTTGCTGTTTATGTCAATGGAGCCAGGAGTTCACTTTGTGAATGTGAACAAATGAAACATTTACTATGGAGTAAATTGACTTGACTTGTATTACATGTCCACACGCTTTATTTCTGAAAGAGGGGCATTTTATAAAAATCAGACAGATCACAGAATCTTTACTAGGCCTGGTGGAGAGTATATACTGTTATGGGTTCTTCTAGTCCATTACATATTGTCTTGGCACTAATGTTTGAGACGATAGGGATCCACGGTTCTCCAATTTGGGATGGACCCAGGCTTTTATGCAAGATGCTCATGCCATGGCGCTTAAATCACTTTCACTTCAACAAAGCAACTTAGTTGTTTCCAAAGGTCTTAATAAATTAAATAAGAATGATACATGTCTAGCTGGAACCTATGTTTGATTTTAAGCGCGTCTTAGCTATTTTTGTGTTTTATTTCAGTGCAAGATTTATAGAGCTAGAAGGGGAGTAAGCAAGAGGGAGCCTCAATCTGTAACCCAAGTGAGGAGGGACTCAGGGAAAAGGGGAGTACTTAGCTCTATTTCCTTCTGTTAGGGTTTTTTGTGCTTTTTGACCAGTGTAAAATGCATAAACCATCCTCACAAAAAGGGACTAGGGTTCAAGATGCCCTCCTCCCAGAAGCATATCTGCTTCTTGGCTACAGAGTCAAGCGCACTCATGTTTGTTCTCCTTACAGCCCCATAAAACTTCCACTCTTGGCCATAGGCGACTGGTATTGGGTGCATGGTGGTGCACGTGCCCCCCACGAAGGGGCCAGTGCCTCCCCCGACAGCCAACACTGATACTGTTAGTAGGGCTGGTGCCCCCCCCGACAGGGCCGCCACTGTCAGTGGCTTCTGCAGGTGCCCCCCCAGATTCAGGAGGCACCAGTCACTCTTGCTCTTGGCTGCCCAGTGACCCATCTTCTGAAGGAGGGGTATAGAGGGTATCTGCCTAAGCTGTTCTATAGCCTATAGGTTAAGGAACTCTCCTGAGAAGCAGGAGAGATATGTTGGGTCACATTAGCCTGATGAGGGCCTAGAACTCAGGTCTGCTGTGTTCTGGGCAAATACTCCAGCCACAAGCCTATTGTACAAGAGGTAAAGTGGTACCACCACTATCATATTCAGAAGTGAACATGGGTCACTGGATTTTGTGATGAACTCTCTCAGGGAGGCATCTCCTTTCAGTGTGGCTTGGATCAAAGAGGATGTAAGCACCAAATATGCAGCCCTGACCTAGACGCCTAAGCTTCAAGAAGGAATGGGAGTGTAGACGCATCTCCCAATTTGAAGTGCCCTTCTGGGGCAAGATGCCTAATTTTTAGACAAGTTGCAGCGTGTAAGAAAATTATTTGGATCTATGCCTGGGTGTCCAGGGTGAGATAAACCTGTCTTGAACTCTCATTAAGGTACCCATTGTGTAGATGTTTTGTCATTTCTTTAGATCAGTGATCAGTGCTTCCCAATTTTTTTTTATATCTGGGACACAGTTTTTCTCTGGATTAAAATTAGCTGCACACTTCACTTCACTCTTCCACCCAGAAAGGTGTATGCATGTATGTATGTATGTGTGTGTGTATGACTTGCACAGTGGTGCTGAACTTTTGACCCTGTGGAGTAGCTGAGCAGTGCTGGGTTGGCCTGTGGTTTGGATCCGATCCTGCTGCACAGGGTTGGCATGGCTGAGCCAAAGCCAGATCCCACTGTGCAGGGCCAACATGACTGGGGCTTGACCTCACCATGTGGGACTTAGAAATTAGGCAACAGGGAGCAGGGGAACTCAGTGGTGTTGACTGCCACCATTCCTGCACCACCAACTTTCTGGACCTGTGGGGAGCTCTGCAAGCAAAACCTGATACTGATAACATGTCATGTTTCACAGCATACTTCTAAGCTACTTGTGACATGCTAGTGTGCCACAACATACCCTTTGGGAACTGATGCTATAGATGTGCTTTATAGTTATGGCTATCAAAACAATATTTTCAAAAACTGTTTTGGGTCAATAAAGTCACTTGTTAGAGATTCCCAAAGGGAAGTGTCTCAGATACCAAACCCAATCAAACCTGCTGGGTAAGTATGGTTGACATACAGATTACTATGGCCCAAGATACAAGACTTGTGTTATTCCTTCCTGTGAAAAGGGAGATTTCCATTCCAGTGAATCTTGATAGCCTGGCAATAACATACTAACCTATTTCTCCTTTTTCTTCATTGAGATTTTAAGAGTCTACTCCTAAAATAACATCTATATGGAGTGAATATGCCAGGGTGATCAAATATCTGTGTACATTGGTGACACATAGGGAGTGCATGCGGGTACATGTGCACCCCCAGAGATTGGTGGTGTACCCCCTGCAAAAAGCACTGCCGACACTGCTGGCGGTCGCTGAACACCACCCCCCACCCCTTGCCGCCAACACCACCAGCAGTGTCTGCAGGTGGTCGCCAACCACTGGTCGGTGCCTGCCACCCCCCATGCCTCCCACTCCCTGCTGCCAACAGTGCCATTGCTGCCTGCAGGAGCTCACCGCTCGCTGCCACCACTCTTCTGCTACTGACAGCACTGCTGCCGCCTGTGGGAGCTCACCATGCCCCCCCAGCCTCCAGGGGCATTCAGCGTTCATGTCCGTGTGTGGTTCCCTGTTGTATGGACAAGAAAGAAAAAATGAGTTCTACAGGATCAACATATCAACCTTCTTAGAGGTACCAGCATTGTGTAAACTGTTCAGTATAGTGAAAGTGTCATCAGAAATGTATACATCCTCATGGGAGCTGGAAGCTCAGCAAAAATCTGACATTAACTGAATATACCAGTCCTAGTTGCCAGACCAGGCTACAAATAAGATCAGTACCATGAAGAATGAAGGTCACAGGACAAGCACCACTTAGTGTGTAATAGATTGCACCAACTTTTTAAACCTGGTAAGGGAAGACTCTAGAGTAGTGGTTTTCAACCTGTGGTCCGCAGACCCCTGATGGCCTACAGACTATGTCTAAGGGGTCTGTGAAAGTTGACTATGATCAATCAAAAATATGTGAATATTCACACTTACTAGTCAAAAAGGTCTGCACCTCCATTAAAAAATTTTTAGGCATCCACAGATTAAGAAAGATTGAAAACCACTGCTCTAGAGGCAGCCTTCCCCTCCCACAACATCAGTCCCCATATGCACCCCTACTGGGAACCTTACATGATAAGTGGTTGAATTCTAACAAAGAATATGTGCATGCTAATCACACATGGGCCAGGGGGAGAGCACTACTGTGAGCATGAGCTGCTCACACATGTGCACCCCACTCTGACCACAACACCCTGGGCAGTTGTGCATCCCACCTACCCCTAAGGCTGCCTCTGCACATGACACTAGGTCTGCATTGTAGGTGACAGCTGGAACAGTAGCAGTGAGCTTAAGCACACATTGGCCATCTCTACTTGAAGGTATTTCTCACTTTCCCTAGCCATGTGTCCAGGTATATAATAATTTATTTTGTTTTATGTGTGTGTGTGCGTGTGTGTGTGTGTGTGTATGTGTAATAATTTGTTAATTCTACATATCTGATCAATTCTAAAGTTTGGGGGACTGTGCTAGAATCACCAGACAAAACCCTCTTTCAAATCAGCAAAAGTTATTTGGACTTGACAACTTGTCTTTTGGTCTCCTTGCTGTGACTTGTGAGGAGGAAGCTCAGCCAATGGGGAGAGGTAGGGAGAGGAAAGACTTCATTCTTTGCTTCCCTGTAAACACACTGCCTTCCCAAATCCTGCTTGAGAGAAAGGATGGGCACCAGCTGTGCCCCTGTTCCTTCCTAACTGAGGAGGGTAGCAGGAGAAAAATGTACCCACATAGAAGCCCTGGCATGGGGGAGAATGTGAAGCCAGGCACAGCCTCTGGCCTGGAAGAGAAGGTGGAGAGAGTTGTAGGGCATCTCTGGAGTAGAGGGGAATGAAAGGGAGCTTGTGAGGGAGCAAATGGAAGCAAGAGCTTGGTCCAGTAGAACACATAAATTGTATATCCATGTAGTACAGGTAACTGTACTTTTTGTATTATTAATGCATGATTACTATCTTCAATAGCAGAGTAGTGTAAAGTCTGTCCAGCACAAAAACACCCAGTAACCAGAAATTCCTCAGATCTCAGTATCCCAGGGACAAAAAAGGAATGTGGAATCTAATGACTTTGAACAGAGACAGCTAATCTAAAAGGAGCGATTTGTGGACTGAGTAAGGATCTGGTGCTGGTGTCCTTGCAGTTGTAATATCCATGAGATTCACAGCTCATGAATTGGTCCCAGTTTGATAACTTTAACAGATGTCACATCATTTTTGTTTTATGCAGAATGTTCTAACTTCAAACTGTAAAACATTGCAACCCAAAATGCAAAGGGAATAGCTGTGAATGGTGCCTTCAATTACATTAAATGCTTGCAACTGTTCGCTGTTCATTCAGAGAGATGTGCTGAATCAACCGTTTTTTGATTTAGTCCAAAAAGTGAATAAGCCTTGCAAAGCAAATGACAATAGGATGCACTGAGTCAGCCAGAGTTCAGTGACGTTATCTCCTTCACATGAGAGAGGTGAGGAGAGAACAGGGAAAATTGTCTCTATCCATATTCATTTTGTTCATAGATTCACTGTATTTCATTTTCTTTATTCCCCTTTAAGTGAGATGTTCAGTAATAATTAGGCATTACTTAATTATTCTTTTTACTACCTTGGATCACAAACCACTCACCAGTCTCTATCTTGGAAGTTCAGTCTTTAAGGTAGTCTCCAAAACCACATCTTCTTTTGCGAGCGAAAAACTTAACATTTAAAAATCAATATTAATGTAGGACACAGTTACAAATACTCAGAACCCATCTACTCACTAATAATGTGCAATGAGTTTTGAGGTGTCCTGCACTATTGCTTAGACTTGCCCTCCTGGATTATTAGTACTGCTCCTGTCATGAGGCAGCAAGTCCACTTGAGCTGTCTCCTGGGGCTCCCTTGTCACATGGCTGTGGCGGTTGCCTGCTTGAAATCCTCCTGGGCAAACAACAGACTAATGGCCCCCTTTCTCCCTCTCTTGTGAGATTTTGGAGACAATGGGAGAATCTACACATTCATTAATGTGCTTTTGGTAATGTGCATTAAATTTAGTACATCCATTGTGAGGTACTAGAAAAAGGCACATTAGCCTATTTTAATGCGCATTAGCAAAAGCACGCTGTTCTTGTAGCACTTTAATACGCATTAAAATAGGCTAAAAGTGCACGTATAGACATGCCCAGTAGCATCTATTCCTGCTTCATAGGCAGATGGTAGGGTTAGGTACCACCTCAGAGTCT